GCATGCACTTGGGAAGAGCCAAGATCTACTCTCTCAGCCACTTTCAAATATGCAATGCAACATTAGTTGCTATAGTCCTACTGTATGTTACATTCTCGGGACTGTTTTTTTTTTAAATTTCTTTCTTTATGGCTGTATCGGGTCTTCATTGCAGCCTGCAGTCTTCTCTCTGGTTGAGACTCATGAGTTTGGTTGCCTTGCAGCATGTGGGAGCTTGTGCAGCCCCGCAGCATGGAAGGTGGGCTCTTAACCACTGGGGAAGTCCAGAAGTTTGCACCTCTTCACCCATCTCACCCACCCTCAATCCCCTACCTCTGGTAGCCACCAAATCTGTATCTTTGAGATTGGTTTTTTTTTTTGTTAGTTTGCTTTGTTGTTTAGATTTCACATAGTGAATTCGTGCAGTACTTATCATTCTCTGTCTGAGTTATTTCACTTAGCATAACATCTTCCAGGTCCATCTGCGTGGTCAAAAGTGGCAAGAAGATACCTTCTTTTTTCTGACTGAGTAGTATTCCATTGTATACATATACCACATCTTTATTCATTCATCCATCAGTGGATACTTAAGCTGTTTCCATATCTTGGCTATTGTGAATAATGCTGCAATAAACATAGAGATGCATATGTCTTTGAATTAGTGTTTTTGTTTTTCTGGATAAATACTCAGGAGTGGAATTGCTGGCTCAAACAGTAGTTCTATTTTTATTTTTTAAGGCACCTCTATACTGTTTCCCATAGTGGCTGCACATTCCCAGCAACAATACTCAGGTTTTCCTCTTTTCCATATCCTCACCAACACTTCTTTTCATGCACTTGGCCATCTGCATGTCTTCCTTGGGAATCGTCTGTTCAGATTCTTTGCCCATTTTTTTTCTTTGCCCATTTTTTAATCAAGTTATTTGCTTCATTTTTGTTTCTGTTTTTGCTTTGCTACTGAGTTGTAGGAGTTCTTTATATATTTTTAATATTATCAGATATGTGATTTGCAAGTGTCTTCTTCCATTCAATAGGTTGCATTTTGTTGTTGATGGTTTCCTTTGCTGTGCGGAAGCTTTTCAAAATCTTGTACACTGGAAATTGTAAGACATTGATGAAAGAAATTGAAGAAGACACAAGTAAATGGAAAGGTATTTCACGTTTATGGATTGGAAGAATTAATATTGCTAAAATGTTCATACTATCCAAAGCAATCTAAAGATTCACTGCAATCCCTATCAAAATTCCAATGGTATTTTTCACAGAAATAGAAGATTCCTAAACTTTGTATGGAGACACAAAAGACTCTGAATAGCCAAAGCAATCTTGAGAAAAGACAAAGCCGGAGGTATCGTGAACTATAATAACAATATTATAATAATCAAAATGTTGTGGGATGGGCATAAAAACAGATACACAGATCAATGGACCAGAATAACAAGTCCAAAAATAAATACATGCAATGTGGCCAGTTAATTTACAGCTAAGGAGTCAAGAATATACAATGGAAAATGGACAGTCCTTTCAATAAATGGTGCTGGAAAAACTGGAGAGCCAAAAAAAAAAAAAGAATGAAACTGAACCACAGTCTTACACTATACACAAAAATTAACAAAAACTGGATTAAAGACTTGAACTTGAGACCTAGAAGAAAACTCCTAGAAGAAAACATAGGTAGAAACTCACTGACGTCAGTCTTGGCAATTATTTTTTTTTATCTGACTCCAAAAGCAAAGGTCATGAAAGCAAAAATAAACACTAAACAGGAAAAAGCTTCTGCACAGCAAACAGAACTAGCAATTATCTGAAAAGGCGACCCCTAGACTTTTTTCAGTCTCCTTGTGGTCTCCCCTCAGGCCTGGGGGCTGAGAAGATCCTCTCACAGTTGGAGTGAGAGGTCAGGTCAGCTTTTTCCTGGTGAAGCCGTGGATCCTGCAGGGGTTGGACTCATGGGGAGGGGCCCTCAGCTGCCCTCCTGAGTCATAAAAGATTGCCTAAAAGAAAGCGGGAGATTTGAAAATCCAGAGATGAGAGATACTGACCTTACCTCCCCGCCCCCCAAATTTCCTTGTGGAACCAAGGATTCTCTTGTTTTCCCAGTGAGAGTGCCTGGTAGGACTCCACCCAAAGCAAACAGCAGGGCTAAAGGGTTAGCAAAGCAAATAAGGTTTCAGCAAGAAACCTTCCTTCACTTCCCTGTTGGGTGAACTCTTCTCACACAGAACCTAGGCTGGAATTCCTCTGCACTGAATGAATCTCAGAAGAAACTCAGTGTCGCTTCCCAGAGGCCTGGATTTTCAAAAGCTGCCTGTTTGACGGAGCCTGTTTTTGGTACTTAAGCTCTTTCTAGCTTTTACTGCTGACCTAGGGGTTTTTTTTTTTTTTAAGAATATCTTTATTGAGGTATTTTCCCGTAGTAAAATGTACCGGTCTTAAGTATAGAGTTCAAACAATTTTGACAAATACAACCTGTAGCCTACCTTAGTCTGTCACCCCAGAAAGTCCCGAGACAATCCCCCTACCCTTGGTCCCTAGGGGACTGTTCTGAATTCCATCCCAACACATTCCTTTTGCCAATTCTGGAACTTCATGTAAATGAAATGGTACAGTGTGTGCTCTTTTGTGGCTGGCCTTCTGTTTGGCATCAAGTTTGTAAGATTCACTGGTGTCGATTCATTCCTTTTTACAGTTGAGTTAATATTTCACTATTTCAATATCCTGTTGACAGTCACATAGGCTATTTCCACTTTGGGGTAGTAGTGATAAGGCTCCTGTGAACCTCCTTGCACTTTTTGTAGGCATACATTTTTTATTTCTCTTGGATGAATACCTAAAAGTGGAATGGTCAGGCCACATGCTAAGTGTCCATTTGACGATTTGATAAGAACCTGCCACACTGTTTCCAGTGTGGCTCTAAAGGTTACTCTCCCTTGAGCCGTATGCTTCAGTCTCTCCATGCTGTTGGTCACTTTCATGTTGAGTATTGTAACAGGTGAGTCCTGGGACCTGCTGGGGTTTTTATGTGTCTCCCTGATGTGACCTAGTGAATTTTAAAGAGGCTTCAAGAATCCTGCCCAGGCCAGCCACCTCTCCCGCCCAGTGCACCCTGCCTTGTATGCAGCAGGTAGAACCACAGGGATTTGCTCTATCTGGAGTATGATCATGGAGCCTAGCGTGGCAGGCCATGCTGGAGACATGGGGCCCTCTCAGAGGAGCACATGTTCTAGGCCAGGGGCAGCACCCTCTGTAAAGGGCAGATTCAGGGCCCACAGCTGACATCAGTCACAATGCTCAGCTCTGTCGTGGACGTGTGAAAGCAGCCTAGACAAAATGCAGAGGAATGAGTGTCACTTTACTTGTAGGCAGTGAAGTTTGGATTTCATGTAATTTTCATATGTCATGAAAATTACCCTTCTTTTGATTCATTTCAATCATTTAAAAATGTAGAAAGTGTTCCTAACTTGAGGGCCATACCAAAACAGGTGGTGGGCCAGCCTGGGCCAAGGGTAGGCAGAGGCAGTGCCCTGAGATGCAGCTTGAAGCCAGGCCAGCAGCCTTCACAGCAAATCTGCCCCACCAGGAAGAGGCTCCCCAAGGGCGAGGGCTGTGGAGGGTGAGAACCAGACCAGGGAGGCCTGTGGATGTCGGCTGTGTGTCCTTCACCTCCTCTCACAGCCCCCCAGGCAGACCCCAAGCTCCACCATTTGGGCACTGCTTCTCTCTCTCCACCCCAAGCTCTCTCACTGACCCTGGCTCTGACTGCTTCCACTTTGGCCTGGTCACCTCAGAATGCCTGCCCATTAGCTACAGGGGGGCCTGCCCTCACCTGTTATCTCAACTCCCCCAGGTCAGCCTGGACCTGCTCGGGAGGGACTGAGACTGCTTTAGCAAGATCACCTGGCCAGGGTCATGGTTTGCAGAAGCTGTGCTGAGCTCAACCTTCTGCTGAGGGACTGGCCAGTCCACCTTGTCGGGGGGGATGGTTCTGGGGAGTGTCTGGGAGGCAGGGGAGCCCATGAGGAAACTACCATGGGAATCCTGGCAAGAGGACCCAAAGGAGTAGCTGAGGATGGGTAAAGAGACTAGAAACACTGGGCACAAATGGCTGGAGGCACCAGACTTCCTTTTGGAGGACCAGCTCTAGAGAGAGAGAGAGAGAGTGCCATGGAGACACCCCCCCACCCCAGCTATGTCCATCCCTAAGCAGCACCAGCCTTAGGTCTGCAGTCCCAGAGACTGGCCAGTCCTACACCCTCATGTGAGTGGAGTCCTGAAGTGCTGCCTTCCCTCAGGCAGCATTGTTCCTCTGTGCTGTTGGATGTGGGCCATCGTTCTCACGGCTCTGGGCTATGCAACCATGGGAATATGCCACAATTTATTTAGCAGCCCAGCACTGGTGGACATTTGCGTGGTTTCCAGTTTGGGACTGTTGCGAATATTTGAATGTTACGGGCATTTCTGTACATGCCTTTTGGTCGGCTTAAGCATTCATATCTGTTGGGTATTTTCTTTGGAGTAGTATTGCTGGGTCAGAGGTAGGTGTTTGTTTAGCTTCAGTGAATGCTACCAGTTTTTCCACGTTCCACCTACCTGTCAGGACTCTTGTTGATGCAGAAATCACAGAGGCTAAGATAGGATCAAGGAGGAGCTGCGGGAGCAAGACTGAAGCCAGGGACCGGAAGATGGCCCTGGGGGACAGCAGCGGGTAGTGCTGGTGAGAGTGAGTGAGGGGGTCCCAGCCCAGGACCTGCGGGTAGGAACTAGCCGAGAGGCTTTAGAGAGGGTGAGGAGCAGGAGGAGACGCCGTCTCGGGGGCGTGGACAGGAGAGAGATGCTGGCAGGAATGGGCCACAAGCCCAGGACCTCACGCTCAGCTTTGCGCGTGGAGAAACTCAACAGTACTCCTTCCCGCAGGAATAGGTACTCCGCCCCTTCTGCGGCCCCGCCCTCCAGCAGGCCCCGCCCCTTCTGCGGCCCGGCCCCTCCAGCAGGCCCCCGTCCTCGCCGGCGCGGCGCACTGCGCAGGCGCGGCCTGGCGGCTGGTGAAGCCGCAGCATCCCTGGCGCGGGCGTGTCCCAGCGGCTCTCTTCGTCCTCCTCCTCCTCGCCGTCCTTCTCGTCCCCATCCTCCCGGGCGGCCGGTGCGATGGCAAAGCCGCTGACGGACGGCGAGAGGCGGAAGCAGATCAGCGTGCGCGGGCTGGCGGGGCTGGGCGACGTGGCAGAGGTGCGGAAGAGCTTCAACCGGCACCTGCATTTCACGCTCGTCAAGGACCGCAATGTCGCCACGCGCCGCGACTACTACCTGGCACTGGCGCACACCGTGCGGGACCACCTGGTGGGCCGCTGGATCCGCACGCAGCAGCGCTACTACGAGCGCGACCCCAAGGTGAGGCGCGCCGGGGAAGAGGGCGCCCGTGGGGGAGACGGCTGCAGGGTGACTCGGACGGGGAAGCGTCCGCCTGCAATGCGGGAGACGCGGGCTCGGTCCCCGGGTGGGGAAGACCCTCTGGAAGAGGGCACGGCAGCCCAGTCCGGTGTTCCTGCCTGGAGAATCCCATGGACACACGAGCCTGGCGGGCTGCGATCCGCGGGGTCGCAGAGTCGGGCATGACTGAGCGAATCTCTGTCTTTGTGTCTGTCCCGGCTGGAGAGAGACCTCGGTGAGGAGGGACCTCCAGGGTCGGGGGAGAGACCCCCAGGTGAGAAGGGACGCCTCTGAGATGGGGAGAAACCCCGCACCCCCAGGTGAGGAGAGAATCCTGGGTAAGGAGAGATCCCTGGGGTGGTGAGAGACTCCCAGGGCGGAGAAGGACCTCTGGTGAGAAAAGACCCCCCCGGGTGAGGAGAGACCCCAGTGAGGAGGGATCGACCACCCTTGAGATGGGGGGGAGACCGTCCCCACCCTCTGCCCCGGGTAAGAGGGGACCCGTGGGTGAGGAGAGATCCCTGGTGAAAAGAGACTGGGTAAGGAGGAACCGCTGGGGTGAAGACACACACACCCGGGTGAGGTGGCCCTGCACACACACACACACACACACACACACACACACACACACACACACCCTGGGTAAGGCAGCCCTGCACGCACGTGCGTGCACATGCACACACACACACACCCAGGTGAGGTGGCCCTGCACATGCACACACACACACACACACACACACACACACCCTGGGTAAGGTGGCCCTGCACGCGCGCGCACACACACACACACACACACACACACACACCTGGGTAAGGTGGCCTTGCACATACACACACACACACCCTGGGTGAGGCGGCCCTGCACTTCGCACACACACACACACACACACACACACACCCTGGGTGAGGTGGCCCTGCACACAGTTTCGTCTGCACCTGCACACCACACGCTAAGCGCCTGAAGTCAGCGGGGGGCCTGCTGTCCTGTGGTGGAGTTGGGGTCACTGGGAAGCCTCTGAGACTGAGGCCCTCAGGGATGGGCCCTGCCTTCCAGGAGCACACACCTGCTCTGGAGAACTTGTCTTAGCTGAAGGTTGGTAGACAGTAACGAACTGTTGATTCTTTTTACATTTCATACAAGCATAGGTTTGTGGTAGATGAGTACAAGGTGCACAAGAGAGAACTTGTTCATCACGTCCATTACTAACCATGTTAAGAATGCAGGTGTATGTCCTGCATCTTCTCCTGTTCTTAAATAAATATGCACACCTTTCAAAAGCATATTGAGTGTACGGTTTTGTGGCTCTTCTGTTTCATTCATCAACATTTGTAACACTTGTAGCTTTTTCAACAGCTTTCCAAGTAAATATGATTCTTCAGTATCATTGATAATTTTCAGTCTGATGCATATGTCATAGGCTTGGCCAGGCCCCTGCTGCCAGTTTTGCTTGCTTGGTTTTTTGGTTTTGTTTCTTGCCTCTTGACCATGGAGCATTTTACCCTTTCTTTTATACTAATGTAGAGTGAAAACTGATGAGGGAAGGACACACCTGTAGACCTAACACCAGTTTGCAAAATTTGATTTGCAGTGGACACCTGGGCACTGGGCAGTTGCTTTGTTGATAGTATTTTTGTAGGGCGTTAAGAAATGTTTAATAATTGCTAAGTCTGAGATCGGTTGCTTTTCCAAGATTTTTCTGGGGCACTCCTTTTTCTAAAAGAGTAGTGGTAAAAAAGACAGTTTTGTTAGAATACTAACCAGCCTCTTGGTGTTTAGTATGCAAAACAGTGAAGTCACACCAAATGGCTAAAACAGGTTATTTCAATGAGGGCTTGGGTCGACTTTGCCAGGGAAGCTGGCCAAGAGGCAGGACTCCCCCAGAATTCCCTGTTGGTGGCAGAGCTCCACTTTGCAATATCATTGTTATTTATGCAGCAGGTGACAAGCGACATCTCTGCCTGCACACTCAAGGGCATTTCCCTGCAGCTGAACCAGAATGTACCACAGCACCCAAGGGACCTGTTAGAGTCTTTATTCTATGTTTAGATCCAAAAAAGACTGGTAATGGCCTCAGGGATTGCGGAAATAACCTTTCCTGAACAGGATTAAATTCCTCTAACAAAACAGGTTTGCTGATCCTCAGTGATGGCTGCGGTGGCCATAGGCATAAACATTCCTCTTTTAAGGAAACCACAGCCTGTAAATGGAAAGTTGTTTGCCTCTCCTGGATAGGAAGGTCCTTTGAAAGTGGAAATTTCTAATTTGACTGCTTCGATCTGTCTGATCCATGTTGAAAATAGGCTCATCATCTCCTTTTCCTGCAAAAGTTACATGTTTGTTTATAAAGCTGGGGTCCCCAACCTTTTAGGGACCAGGGTCCGCTTTCATGGAAAACGGTTTTTTCACGGCCCCTGGTTGGGTGAGAGGGGATGGTTTCTGGATGATTCAAGCACGTTACATTTATTGTGCACTTTGTTTCTATTATTATTACATTAGCTCCACCTCAGACCATCAGGCATTAGATCTCAGAGGTTAGGGAACCCTGTTGGAAAGGATAAGAAACCCTGTTTTGTTAGAGGAATTTAATCCTGTTCAGGAAAGGTTACTTCCGCAATCCCTGAGCCCATCACCAGCCTTTTATGGATCTAAACATAGAATAAAGACTCTAACGGGTCCCTACAGTGCTATGGTACATTCTCATTCAGCTGCAGGGAAATGCCCTTACGTGTGCTGGCAGAGATGTAGCTTGTCACTGCTATAACCTCTGATCCCAGGAGGATCAGAGCATGAGGGAAGGTGGGAGGGCTTTGGCAGCCTGATGATCTGAACAAGAATCAGACTGCTTTTATTTAATATTTTTATTTACTTAAAAACAGTTATGCAGGTCCTTGTGATTATTGGAGACAAAAATTCGAAAACACAGATAAGCCAAAAGGATAACTGTAATCTCACCACCTAGTGATAACAATGTAAATGCTACAGATAGCTTGTGTTCCACATCTCTTTTTCTGGGCAAGTAGAGACACTTGTTTTTATTACACAAAATAGTGCAGTGCCATGCTGCACCTATTGTTTCGTAACTCTTTCAAGCATTCTATTTTTGGTAATAGTAGAAACAATTGAAGCTCAGTGCTCAGAGGAAGAGTTTTCAAATAAGCTGCCTGGCCAAGCAGCAAGTCAAAATATCTGGCTAAAATTTAAGAGGTCTGCACTTGGCAGGACTCAGCGCTTAATTCTAAAGAGGCTCCAAGAGACTGAGGAGATGGGGAGGTCAGGACTCCACTCCAGACTCGGGGACGGAAAAGAACTGGGTGGTAAGGGATGGCTCACACAGATCCAAGCCCCTCAAGGCCTGGCTTTACCACTCAGATTGTTCCACCCTGGGCTGGGGTAGGTTTCTTTCTTGGTCTCAGTTTTTTCATCTTTAAAATGAGGAAGGTCAAGCTAGGTAATCCATTTCTGAGTCCCTTTCCTTTCTAAAATATCATAGTTTTGTGTTTGCCGGTAAAATGTTTCCATTTTACATTGACATTCCATCCAAAAAGAATTTGAGAATGCTTGAGCAAGACATGATACAGGGGCTTCCCTGGCAGTCCAGTGGTTAAGAATTCGCCTGCCAGTGCAAGGGACACAGATTTGATTCCTGGTCTAGGAAGATTCCACATGCTTCTGAGCAGCTAAGCCTGTGTACCACAATTACTGAGCTCGTGTGCAGAAACTGCTGAAGCCCAAGGTCCCTAAAGCCTGTGCTCTACAAGAGAAGCCACTGCAATGAGAAGCCTGAACACCACAACAAAAAAGACCCAGCACAGCTAAAAATAACAAATAATTTTTTTAAAAAGATACAATACAAAAGGCTCAACTTCATAGAAGACCTCAAAGAGAAAGTTGGGGCAAAAGACAGTAAGGGTAGGAAAGTGGATTAAGTTCAGGTGTAAAGTCAGGACACAAAATGCCAACCTAAGTTCTGGCAACCAGAGCATGTGTCAGGTTATGCCCAGTTATGGGAGTCCTCAATCTCTACTAGAGATTCTAGAATGGGCAAGTGGGAGATTTCTTCCATGGATCTCTAGAGCAGACATTGCACAAGGTGGACAGCTGGACTGATGGCACCCCTGCAGTGGATGGACTGGTCAGTTTCCCATGGCTCCTTCCTAATGAGCTCTTGGCATAACCATCATGGTAGACTAAGAACAGAAGCTCTACCACTGGGCCCAAGCTCTTGTCTTAAATATTTCTAGTAAGATAATCATAAAGAATACAGTCAATCTTATGGTTTTAATGGATTTGGGAATTGAAGGAAGATAATCTAGAGCAGTGTTTTATACCCTTGGCTGCCCACAAGCCCCACTTCTGAACTTCTGTCCTAATAAGGCAGGAGTGGGACCAGCACTGGGATCTTTTTGACCCAGGCAGCGGTTCTGATGTGTTTGCACTCTGTGGTTCTGGTTGTGGCTGTGGTGCTCTGATGTGTTTGCACTCATCTGTGTGAACTTGATCTTGTATCCTGTGGACAAGCCTCCCTGATAGCAGAGAGCTCAGAGTTACTTTCTGTGGCTAGAAGCTGGGGAGGGACAGGCAGTTCGTGTTGCTGATTACCCTGACAGCTTGCAGAGCAGAAGGTCGGATGAAGCCATTGTCTATGAGATGGGGAAACTCTGTGTGTGTGCCACGATTTCTCATAGAAGGCAGCCTAACCTCTGCTCCTTCAGGCTGTGATGGTTCATTTTCTGTGTCAGCTTGGCTGGGCTGTGGTGCCCAGATATTTGGTCCAGTGTTAATGTGGATGGATGTTTGTTTGAAGGTGTTTTCTGACTAAACGTGAGAGTAACGTTTGGTCAGTGGATTTTGAGGAAAGTGGTATCTTCTGTAATGTAGATGGGCCTCTATTCTCTTGAAGACCTGAACAGAGCAAAGACTGACACCCCATTTAGAGTCCAAATGCCACTCCTCCATACCT